GGGGGGGTTGGAGTGAGACTGTTCGTGTCTAATCACTTCCGGTTGTTAAAAATAAGTTGATTTTGCAAATTGGCGTAAAATTTCACAATCAACTCGTGGTTTGTCTAATGGGGTTGCCCCATATTCCAAGCGAAATTTAAAACAAGCTGTACAGACGCAATTTAAAGGTTCAGGCAAGGCGACCACATTGATTTATTTCCAGAGCCTAGACAAAGTCTAGAACACGTCTGGTATGACTACAAATTAAATCGCGCGTGTTCTTAATTAATAATTAGAACATGAAAGTTATGATGCTCGGCAAATTCCAAAAAAATGATTAATTAACGCATGTGATCATGTGATGGCTTTCCCGACCTAAAGACGTGCCATAGGCCACATAATGAAACACCTTTACCGCCATCTAGTAGAAAATCGGGCACTTTTGCTGTGCCTACCAGAATTGGGGAGAAAATTGTATGATAGACTTTTCAGGCTACTATTCCCCTCAATGATCCGTTAGTAAAAGCAATTGACCTTATGATTAAAAAAAGAGGAATCTTTACCTCTCCTCCTCATTAGTCGTGCTTTCCAGCTGTTGTTGTTGTTGCTGCTGCTGCTGCTGTTGCAGTATTCTCTGATGCTGCTCATGATGGTGATAGTAGAAACGGAGGTGTTGGCAATGCAACTGGAAACGATAGACTTGCTTCATATACCCCAGGGCCATTTCCTCCGCTCGCGTTGCCGTGGCCGCTGTCTCTGCATCGCGGTAGAGGTACAACGACAAGTCACGCAACCGCGCATAGAACAACTTCCAACTCCTCTTGCCCATGGCAGCTGAAATGGGATTCAAGAGGTCAAGTATACACACACACACACCCCACTGCCCATTCGAGCCAATAAGAGCATGACTGCGGTAGAAAACAAAACTCACTTCGTTTACCGTGGGACTCCATTACACATTTTCGCATTATGAAGCCACGCATATATTCCTTTGCTGAAATGTCTTTGGGCATCTACAAGGGAAAAGGTACGGCTAAGATGGAAGCAACACCTTGAACATTAGCTTCTTTTGGGCTAGTCAAGAGAACGCGATAAGGTTCGGACTCTTAATCTACCATTTACTCGAAACCCATTGATGCAGAAATTAACTACCACGTAGATAGGTCTCCAAATTTTAATACGCAGGCACTTACATAGCAAAAAGCAACTAATTTGATCCACAATTGTAATGAAGTAAATCACCAGTCATACTAAGAACTGCAAGCTCTGTTTCTATTAACTTTCTCGCCTACAGTTCATAACTGTTATTCTTCTACTCGCATAGGTGAATACGGAAATGCATTACTTTACAATGGGTGGGGTGTACGATAGACCTACCTAAACGTGGTGCACACTGGGCAACACATACTCATACGGCAAAAATGTCTATAAACTGGCAATTGACTTCTGACTTCAAACCACCATGACCCGAATCTATGTCGTAATCCACGACTTCCAGAGTACTCACGTCAATATTTTTTCTACCTTTGCGTCAGTCTCTTTCCCATCTTTGAAACACTCTTCTGCCCCCCCCCCCACTCGACTTTTTTTCACTTTGATGTTCCTTCCCCTCTGTGAAGCCTGAAGCCAACTAAAGGGCTAATGATAACTATCAAAACGCCTGCCATTTGATATAAATAAATAAACTTTGCAATGGGTAAACGCGTTAACAAATTCATCACAAAGGTCGAACAAAGTCACACCTCCATTACAGCAGGTAATTGTAAAAAAAATGGCCCGGAATCGAGAAAAGAATACAATTTTCTAAGGGTTTTCTGAATGTCAAGATAATGATGAGAGAGCTGAAAATGCGTGGGTTGGACAACATTTTATAGACACCAGAAGATAGCATGAGATAGCACAAGGGACTGGAGGAGAGTGAAAGGTAGACTTGGATGCATTATAGGGCATAATAATAGCAGGAATCGGTTATATTGTCTCAATAGCTGCTGCACTAGTCTATGAAGAAACGCGAAAGTAAGATTAGATATATCTCACCTATAACGCACCTAATTGACTAATCGTGTTATCTCAGACCACTCGGTGGGAAATAATGCGATCTGCGATTAAATTGGGTTAAAGATAATGATCTTTGATCATTTGATCACCTCACCTTTTTCCCTCTACCTTTGGCTGAATGTAAAAATTGGATCTAACGTTACTTAAAATAGTAAAGTCATTAAAGTAATATGACTAAAACGAGCGATTTCATAATTAAACAACAAGATACCCTGGAAATCCGCAAATTGAGCGCAATATATTTTTTTATGAAAAAGACGCGACAAATAGCATTCAACTACGTCTATAGTATGGTGTGGCAATTAAAAAAAAGCATTTCCTTCCTAGTGGAAGCAGATTTTAGTAACGCAATA